CCCCAAAGCCCCATCGTTGCTCCTCACCCGTCTCCATGCAGATGCAGCACCCAAGGGGGTGGATGTAGCACACATGGGGACCCCCCAAAACCCCTTTGTTGCTCCTCACCCATCCCCACACGGATGCAGCACTCAAGGGGGATGGATGGAGCACTCCCAAAACCCCACCGTTGCTCCTCACCCGTCCCCACGTGAATGCAGCACCCGGCGGGTGGAAGGAGCACCCATGGGGATCCCCCAAAACCCCTTTGTTGCTCCTCACCCATCCCCACACGGATGTAACACCCAGGGGGGATGGATGGAGCACCCAAGGGGGATGGATGGAGCATCCATGGGGAGCCCCCAAAACCCCTTTGTTGCTCCTCACCCATCCCCACACAGATGCAGCGCCCGGGGGGATGGCTGGAGCACCCATGGGGACCCCCCAAAACCCCACTGTTGCTCCTCACTCATTCCCACATGGATGAAGCACCCATGGGGACCTCCCAAAACCCCACCGTTGCTCCTCACCCGTCCCCATGTGGATGCAGCACCCAGGGGGATGGATGGAGCACCCATGGGGCCCCCCCAAAACCTCATTGCTGCTCTTCACTCATTCCCACATGGATGCAGCACCCATGGGGACCTCCCAAAAACCCCATCACTGCTCTTCACCCATCCCCATGCAGATGCAGCACCCAAGGGGGTGGATGGAGCACCCAAGGGGACCCCAAAACCCCACCGTTGCTCCTCACCCATCCCCATGTGGATGTAGCACCCAGGGGGTGGATGGAGCACCCATGGGGAACACCCAAAACCCCATCATTGCTCCTCACCCATCCCCACACAGATGCAGCACCCAGAGGGATGGATGGAGCACCCATGGGGAACCTCCAAAACCTCATCGCTGCTCCTCACCCATCCCCACACAGATGCAGCACCCAAGGGGTTGGATGGAGCACCCAGAGGGACCCCAAAACCCCATTGGTGCTCTTCACTCATCCCCACGCAAATGCAGCACCTGGGGGGGTGGATGGAGCACCCATGGGGACCCCCAAAAACCCCATCATTGCTCCTCACCCATCCCCACATGGATGCAGCACCCAAGGGGGTGAATGGAGCATCCATGGAGACCCCAAAACCCCATCACTGCTCCTCACCCATCCCCACGTGGATGCAGCACCCAAGGGGGTGGATGGAGCATTCATGGAGACCCCAAAACCCCATCGCTGCTCTTCACTCATTCTCACATGGATGCAGCACCCATGGGGACCCCAAAACCCCACTGTTGCTCCTCACCCATCCCCATGCAGATGCAGCACTCAGGGGATGGATGGAGCACCCATGGGGACCCCCCAAAAACCCCATCATTGCGCCTCACTCATCCCCACACAGATGCAGCACCCAGGGGGGGTGGATGGAGCACCCATGGGGACCCCCCAAAAACCCCATCATTGCGCCTCACTCATCCCCACACAGATGCAGCACCCAAGGGGTTGGATGGAGCACCCAGAGGGACCCCAAAACCCCATTGGTGCTCTTCACTCATCCCCACGCAAATGCAGCACCTGGGGGGGTGGATGGAGCACCCATGGGGACCCCCAAAAACCCCATCATTGCTCCTCACCCATCCCCACATGGATGCAGCACCCAAGGGGGTGAATGGAGCATCCATGGAGACCCCAAAACCCCATCACTGCTCCTCACCCATCCCCACGTGGATGCAGCACCCAAGGGGGTGGATGGAGCATTCATGGAGACCCCAAAACCCCATCGCTGCTCTTCACTCATTCTCACATGGATGCAGCACCCATGGGGACCCCACCAAAACCCCATCACTGCTCTTCACCCATCCCCACATGGAGGCAGCACCCAGGGGGGATGGATGGAGCACCC